TGCTATGATGTAATTATCTATCTATGTGATATGCCGGTAAATTTAGCCTTCTCAGTATGTCGTTAACTGAGAGAAGACAGAATCTCATTTTTATAAACGGCTTCAGCTTCTGTTAAAAGAATTTTTCTGTCATTTTTTTTTTCAAACATCTGATATGGAATCGTTTCATAAACAACTCGTAAATTTTTTTAAAGAAAATCTGAAATCAATCATGTAAATTTGCAGGATGCCGAGCACCACACATTTAGCGATTTTTTGTTTATTTTTAACCTCTGATTAATTTTTTCTTGCTTTCAATAACAAAATTTAAACTTCTGTGTTTTCTTTATTTGTATTTTTTTTCTTTTTTTCGCATCTTATCAGCAGCTTGCAAATTACCCAGTACGGATTACGATGGCTTATTTTCTTGCGAAGCACTTCTTAATTTTTATCAAATTCTCAGAGTGGTTAGAGGAAGATATTTGAATTGTGAATTTCAATCGCCTTTAGACCTGGAATGACGCAAGAGATAAAAAAGGCCCCTCGTTCTGGGCGATCAGTCTAGTGCTCTAACTATAATCAGGTTTTTCAGGAAAAAAAAAAGGGATTCACACACGTGCAGCAAAACGTAAATATAATGCTTAATGAAAATAGGTGACGACTCTGATCGAAGATTATTGACAAAGTGTTACGTAAGCGAGCACTCCACCTGACAGGGTCTTAGAAGTCATACGTAGTTATCTCGTCAACCACGTGGAAACTTCATGGTGTATATTCACTGAACATGAATATAACACAAATAAATTACTATCTTTAAATGACAGAAGGTTTATAAACGCGGTTCTTCTTGTCTACAGTTTATCGACAGGATTTTCTTTTTTTGTATAATACAATTGTGTATAACACGACCCCTTGCTTCTGAAGTTAAAAGTGGAATAAATTGCATCCTTGTGTATGATAAAACCCCGTAGTACAGTCATCCTTATATAAATTTGTTTTGAAAGGTTGTACCATGTTATCCATTACATTCGTCGTACATATAATTAAGTAAAATATTTAATTTTTCACAATATTAAAGCATAGAAATGAACCTAATGTTTAGCCATTGTCTGTTTCATCTGCTAATTTTCGATTCAAAGAAATTTTGTGTTTTATTATCTATTGGGTTGAGTGTATTTGCAATGTTGCTGTTTCAAATAAGAGATTTTCATTTAAGTTGGGTAAAAATTTCTGAAAAATTCTAAAAATGGCTCTGGGTTATATATATATATATATATATATATATATATATATATATATATATGTATGTATGTATGTATGTATGTATGTGTGTGTGATGCATGCATAAAACTTGTATGGTAGGGGATAAATGTACATTTATTTTCGTATATATATATGTCTATATTTTTCCTACTTGTAAAAGTCGATCATTAAAATTAATCAACACAAAATGTCTGGCGCTTTTAATAGTATTTGCCTTAAAGAATATTTGTTTCCATAATATATGCCTATATCTATACAGACGAGATTTAGACAGCATGGATATATGAATCAACACGGCATGGTCACTATCAGTTTCATGTTTGAATGTTTGACATGGGCTGATGACCTAAGGCGGAAAAAACACAACAGCCATCATGCATTGCTAATTATTATATTATATATATATATATATATATATATATATATATATATATATATATATATATATATATATATATATATATATATATATATATATATATATATATATATATATATATATATATATATATATATATGTATATATATATATATATATATATATATATATATATATATATATATATATATATATATATATATATATATATATATATATATATATATATATATATATATATATATATATATATATATATATATATATATGCATATATATATATGTGTGTGTGTGTGTGTGTTAACCACTAATATTATCTGTCTATATATATATATATATATATATATATATATATATATATATATGTATGTATATTGAACTATATGTATATATACATATATATATTGATCTATATATATATATATATAAATGTGAACATTGAAGTCAATCACAGCGGCCAGACGATTGCGTCTAGCATGAAACAGCCTGTCGCCCTGAGTGCTGGCTTCAATGTTCACTTTTATATTTATATTTACATACGCTCTATCCCTGATATTGAGCATTTTCTCCTATAAATATAGCACCTCTTAAGACTATATTTCGTTATATATATATATATATATATATATATATATATATATATATATATATATATATATATAAGCACAGGAATTTTTGTATACACTCTCTCTCTCATTCTATATATATATATATATATATATATATATATATATATATATATATATATATGTGTGTAAATGTATATATATATTCAAAATTATGACATATACATATATATATATATATATATATATATATATATATATATATATAATTAAATGCTTGAGTTCAGATGAAATTCAAAGTTGGACAGTGGTCCCATATATTTAATCTATAAATTGTTTAATGATGGTTAAGATGGGAAATTAATTCCAAATACAATACCAATACACCCCCTAATATATATATATATATATATATATATATATATATATATATATATATATATATATGTGTGTGTGTGTGTGTGTGTGTGTCAGTGTCATGTGTGTGGGGAGATAGAAGAAGAATAGTAACAGAGAGGAAAGTCTAGTCGCATGTGTGAAATGCTTGTTGAAAATACATATATGTAAGGTTTAACAGCCTTTGAATAATAAACGCAGTTGAATAAGATTTTCTTCCCTCACTGACAAAACTATATGCATCTGTAATTCCAGATTTTGCGTTCAACAATTAAGTTTTTGGTTCTCGTTACATTTTCGACGAGTAGCCGAAAGCCTTCATTTACGTATAAATAATAAAGCTTTAAATAAAGAAAATATCCTTGCTAATGATTGTAATGATTCACGTATAAATGATGGAGGGTTAACTAAATATATATATATATATATATATATATATATATTTAATTCGCCGGTAAATATAACCTAATGATTGTTCACGCCATGGATGTAACCAGAACTAGTAATTCACGACCTCCAAATTCCATCTGAAAAAAAAAACATATTATTAATAACATCTCAAGACTGATACATTGAATCTGTAATAATCACAATCTATGTTCACAAAACATTAAAATCTTACATTGATCACAAAAGTATAGCACTCTCTCGTAGTTTCACCTGTCATTTATCGAAACTAGTTGTAAGTTCTATATATATCGGTCATTACATCAAAGCCAAAATAGTATTTTTAGCATAAAAGAAATATCAGTAAACAATAGAAAAACACTGTAGAGTTCCCAATTGCAAAGAAAAAACAAAATATTCGAATATATTATATAAAAGGATTAATTTTATAAATTGAACATCTACCAAGGGATATATATATATATAGAGAGAGAGATAGATATATAGATAGATAGATAGAGAGAGAGAGAGAGGTCTTGTAAAGACTGTGATCGATCCCTATTTGGTGACTACTGTGCCAAACTAACCTGAAATATTTTCACATTACTCTTCACGCACACAAATATTTGAATCTTATTAAATGTAAAATTTATAATATTCGTTTGTGGGTGTTTTCATATATATCATATTTTGTGTTTGTATACATACATGCATACATACACACACACACACACACACACATATATATATATATATATATATATATATATATATATATATATTTATATTTCTAAAGAGTTATGGATTAATTTTAACCCAACATTTTTATTACTCGAGCGTTGCTTCTTAGTGTACACCCATGTTTGAAATAGATGCCCCGTTTTCATTACATCTCCCAGCCTATGCACACGAGAAAGCATAAAAAATGTACACTTCTTCATTAACTCTGGAATGCATACCGATAAATATAATACACAATATTGAAAAACATAAAAAAACAAGGCGTCTATTTCAAACAAGAGTATCCACCAAAAAAATGACATTTGAAGTTATATATATATATATATATATATATATATATTTGAAGAGTTAAGACGATTTATATATATATATATATATATATATATATATATATATATATACAATGGATTCTCTCGTCGTGTTAAACGTATGAGGTTAGTTTTTTAAATTATACATTCTCTCACTGTATTATTATCTATGCTATTATAGGTATCACACACAAGCATATATATATATATATATATATATATATATATATATATATATATATTTATTAAAAAAAATGTATAACATAAATATGTTATAAAATCACTACAAAAATAGCCATTTGTTTCAACACCCTCGTTGTCTTATCAAGTGATAAGGTGTTGAAACAAAATGGCTATTTTTGTAGTGATTTTATAACATATTTATTTTTATTTTTTTTTTATAAATAATTATATCTGCTCTACTTTGTATTGAGCACTCTTTTAAGAATAGTAATTGTTGGTTATTGGAATTCATTCCAATATATACCAATTATATATATATATATATATATATATATATATATATATATATATATATATATATATATATATATATGAATGAAAAGAATGTAGAATTTCCAACGTTTTTGCCTGATGATATATATTTTTTTTTTCATTTGGTGACTTGTGTAGTTCTATTCACTGATGTACTTAAATATGCATCTATATATACGAATTTAAAATCATGTATGCAATATTATAGTTCTATATTTATTTGAAATTTCTTTTAATCTAGTTGAAATCCGTTCGTCCGATTAAGTAGCAACCAACTCTCTCTGTGCGTGAGTGCTCTCCTCTCACTGGAGCTGGACATATTCGAGTGTGGATCAGATTAATAGATTCACGCGTCAATTTTGTTGCAAGTGAGCTCAATTATTTTTAAATGTTTTCCAAAATACATTATGGATTTGACGAAGTTGCGAATATTGATATTTAATTTTGGGTATTTTGTTCAAATTACCCTTTTACTTATATCACAAGATGTTTTTGCTCATATATCTGCAGACATCTCTCTCCCCCCACTCTCTCTCTCTCTTGCTCTTTCTGTCTCCATATATATATATATATATATATATATATATATATAGAGAGAAATTGAGACTTAGAGAAAGATTGATAGAATTTATATTTATATTTATAACACCAAAACATAGATACCCCCCACACATATATATATATATATATATATATATATATATATTTGTCTGTGTGCTTGTGTGTGTGTGTTTGTGAGTGAAGTAAAAAAGCACTATTTGTATATTATTGAATTTTGCAATTTTTTCCTCATTCTCCAATAATTCTTGCATGCTAATTATTTTGTAATACGTTCCTTTCTGACAATCTAACATCGCATCTTTCTTTTATCCTTTTTCTTCTTCTTCTTCTTCTTCTTATTATTATTATTATTAGTAGTAGTAGTAGTAGTAGTAGTAGTAGTAGTAGTAGTAGTTTCCATTTTTTTTTCCTCTCGTTTTTACTTTTCCGGCTTTCTTTTTCCTATTTTACCTCTCCTTTCTTTCTGTCCTTTTCCCTATTATTATTATTATTATTATTATTATTATTATTATTATTATTATTATTTACACCTGTTTTTCTTTTTCTTCTTCATTCATCTTTTAGATTTCTTTCTTTTTTCTTTCTTCTTTTCTTTCTTTTTTTTTCTGTCTGTCTGTCTTTCTTTTATGCTTCTTATTTTTACTGCTTCTACTTTCGTCTTCTTATTTCTTATCTCTCTATTTTACATTCCCTATACTTGTTTCTTTCTTTCTTTCTTTCTTTTTTCTTTCTTTCTTTCTTTCTTTCTTCTTATTGTTTTGGCATCTTATTTCTTATCTCTCTATTTTACCTTCCCTACTCTTCTTTCTCTTTTCTTTTCTTTTCTTTTCTTTTCTTTTCTTTCTTTCTTTCTTTCTTTCTTTCTTCTTATTGGTTTCGGCGTCTTATTTCTTATCTCTCTATTTTACCTTCACTACATTTCTTTCTTTCTTTTCTTTTCTTTCTTTCTTTCTTGCTTTCTTTCTTTCTTTTTTGCTTCTTATTGTTTTCGGCATTTTATTGCTTTTCTCTCTCTTTTACCTCCCTACACATCTTTCTTTCTTGCTTTCCTTTTTTCTTGCTTTCCTTTTTTCTTGCTTTCTATCTTGCTTGTTTCTTTTTTTCTTTCTCCTCTTTTGGTTTGTTTTTCATCACTCTCTTTTCTTCCACTTTTTATTTCAGCCGACAGTTTTTTTACATGTCATCTTTTACACCCTTTTTGTCTTCATCTTATTTTGTTTGTATTGTTTTCTTTCTCCTTCCATTACTACTACTACTACTACTCTCTTCCCTTCTCTTATTCTCTTCCTTCTTTCATTCTCAACTTATTACAACTTTGTCTTACTACAAAAAGTCTTTTTTCTCCGTTTTCCTTTTCCTCCTCCTCCCCTTCCTCCTCTTCCCTCTCATTTCTTTTTCTCTCTCCATCAGAAGTTTAATTCTTGTAACTTATTTCACGGTTATCGTGTTGATCTTTGATTTTTTATTCTTATTCATTCTTTTTATTCTTCTATATTTTGTCATTCTACATTTGCTTCTTTTTTATCCTTTTTTTCTTCTCTTTCTTTACTTTCATTTACGTTTTCTACTACGCAAGTTTTCCTTTTCTTTTTATCCTTATAAAAACAATTAACTTCTTTTTCCTTTCTTTCTTTTTCCTTCTTTCTTTTTTCTTTCTTTCTTTTTTGCTCTTTATTTTTTCCTGATTCTACTATCGGCTTCTTATTTCTTATCTCTCTCTTTTAATTTCCCTAAACGTCTTTCTTTCTTTCTTTCTTTCTTTCTTTCTTTCTTTCTTTCTTTCTTTCTTTCTTTCTTTACTCCTTTATTTATTTATTATTTTATCGTTTCATTTCTTGTTCTTTGATTTTTTTTTATCAGCTTTTTCTTAAAACTTTTTTCTTTCTCCTCTTAAATTTTAATTTTAATTTTACTTTTCTTCTTTCTTTTCTCTTCATTTTCTTTTTCTACTAATTTTCTTATCTTTCTTCTTCTAATCTTCCTTGTCTTTTTTCTCTTCGCTCTTTATTTTTCTTCCTTCTTCCAGATTTCTTTTTCTTTCATGTAAATCTTCGTTTCAATTTTCCTTCAGAATAATTCTCCCGGATTCTTCCTCCACGGCTCTCTCTCTAAAATTTCTTCTAAAAATACCAGCACTTAATTTAAAGAAAGCGTAACCAACAGGTGAATGCGGAGATAATTTTCTTTTCCTTTTTTTTTTTTCCTTTTTTAGTTTTTTTTTTTTTTTTTTGCTTCCCTTACACGTTTCCCCACTTCACTTTTCCTGCAACTCCTCTACATCAAATGCACCCACGTCTCGTTTATGATTACTGCAAAAGAACCTGAGAAAGGAAAGTTTTATGTAGGCATAAAAAAGTGGGGGTTTTAGTCATCTGTCTCTTTTCTGTTTGGCATTAACACATTATACAATCTATCTATCTATATATATATATATATATATATATATATATATATACATACTTTTCTATTTTGATCGCCCTCGTTTCGATAGAATTAACCAGCTTAGCTGTCAATCAAACAGTTTATCATCGGATCTATCTATCTATCTATCTATCTATCTATCTATCTATCTATCTATCTACAATAGTCTCTCTCTCTCTCTCTTTATTTCTATATATCGATCCCAATCTCTTGCTGTCCAGCAATTTATCTAGCTATCTATTTTAATCTCTATATTTATCTATCTACCTAACTACCTAGATGCTCTCTCTCTCTCTCTCTCTCTCTCTCTCTCTCTCTCTCTCTCTTTATCTATCTATCTATCTATTTATCTATCTATCTACCTGTCTGTCTGTCTATCTGTCTGTCTATCTGTTCAAGGTATCTATCCACTTATTTCTGTTGTTTGAACAATAAACAACGCAGGCCGTTATAAAATTATTACAAAAGCTTTTAATAGAACGATTGTGTAGTATCCTGCTGTAAAATGACTGCAGCAGTAACTCGAACCCAAGATACGCTTTTGTCATTTCTATCAGTTACGTAACTCACTGTCCAGTAGTGAGCATATCTTATTTCTAGCTTTTTGCTGAGAAACCCAATTTACTTTACTCCCTTCAACTTGCAGATTTTTTTTTAATTGGAAAAAAAAATGAGTTGTACGACAAAAAGACTTTGAAAGCCAAATGTTTCAATTTTTGCAAAACATTTCCCAATTTCTCAGTGCGAATCTTAAAAGCAAAATATTATTTTTCAAATTAGGAAGTGAAACACATTTTTAAAATCTTCGCTAAGATTTTTATTTTAATATTTTACGCTGCCAAACATGTTTTCATTAAGAAAAATGGATTTAAAATCCAAATATCTCTACACACCAAATGTATTTTGTACGTGTGAATGGCGTACATGACAAGACGGGGAAAATCTTTGTAGAAAAATATATTTATATCTATAAATGAAAATACATTAAAACGCTTACTCTTGCTGTCGTGTAATACTTAAAAAGCAGACTATTCTGAGTGTTGCGGTTTCAATCCCCACAGTCTCTTGCACATTGAGCTTTTTAATTAGGCATTTGTCGTGACGGAATGGATACTAATCAACTCTTTTATATCATTACTATTGCAGTAAATTTAAGTTTTACGTGCTACTAAATATTCAGACCTGGTGTCAAACGAAACGTGTTGATTTTATACGACGTTTCGTCTAGTTCATTCTGCAGCCTTCTTCAGGATGTACAGTTCTTGTTCGACAACATAAATTTAATTAGACCATCTATACTGTTCAAGACTAAAAAAAAAGAAACCAACAAAATTCTTTTTTTTGGGATAACTTCGTATTTTCCAGTGCCATGTTCCTTCAGGATGTAGACGATCATGACTCTCCACATGTTACATTTCTTTATTATCATCTGTGAATTAACATGAATTTTTAGGAAAGATAGCAGAGTGGATTCCTTCTCCGCAGTTTTTGAATTCAGAATTTTCCTTCTCAGACTGGTCGCCATCCTTGGCTATAAAAAGAGTCCAGTCTACTCCACTAGTTAACCCATAGATTGGAGGAGAAGTGATAGATTCATGCATTTCTCAAGATCATTTGTGCGAAAGTGAATGCAACAGACTAGACAGGAATTTGAACCCCGCTTACCGATTCCATTTTCCATGCCATTACGGGACACACATAGACAGTATACCGTATTGAAAGTGGATAAAACACTAGCAAAAATTAAATATCAATTCCATGACCGGTGTGGTCATAGGGTCGCTGTGCTTCTGGACAACTGATGAATTCTCTTCACATATCTGGAGTGAAAGCCGGAGAAATATTAATCCATGCCTAGAATCTCTAGAGTAAAATGGGTGGAAACCATCCAGTTCCACGTCAAGCCATAGCCGATGTTCTTCAACTTGAAGGTTCGCCTTGACCATGGACACGGGGCCATTGATTCTATCGGAGGAAACGCGGCCGTTGACTTCAGCTTAGGAAGCCCTCCGCCCAACGATTCTTTGTCATTACCGCACTGTTTGCAGAAATGAGGAACCCCGTCCACCCTATTGTACTTGATGGCTGTAAGCCCCGCATTAACTTTTATCGACCCGTTGACATATCTTGTTTTTAATCCTAGCCATCCTCCTTACTAGAAAAGTCTGGTGGATGAATCAGTTTAGTCGCTGGTGACCTGACTATGCGATAGGTTGCTTGATTTTTTTTGTTTTTTTTAAACAAGTATTTCATGGGTCGTTTAATGCCGAAATAATTTTCTTGTGAGCTTGAATAGTTTTCTTTTTGCAAAAATCTATTCCTTGTAATTTTTTTAATCTATTGCTGGTATAAAATTACTAGCAATAAAAACGTATTTTTTCTACTATAAGTTTTTTTACCCCATTTTGGGGGTTTACTATTTATCCATAGTCGGGACCCTAACAGGTGCCACCACTCCGGTAGCACCTGTTACTATCGGTTGTAGTTCATTGTCATACCCAGGACAGGCGGCACGTTCAACTGAATTACATAGCAAGACTAGCATTTATAGATTGATCTGATATTTAAATAAATAATATATAAAAATTAAAATGAACCCCCCCAAAACAGACACCAACCGTGGAGCTGCCACAAACATATTCAAGAAGAACATCTAAACAAATGTGAACATAACATCCGCGTAATGTTTTTTCATACTACAATCTCTCTTCGCAACGTGCTTGCAGAAAAAGATGTTTAATAAAAAAACTGCAGTTATAACATCACATGCAGTAATGGTAACGAAAATAAGAGTCCGGTCATTCCTTTAAAGTTCGAATTTAGAAACATCTACCATTCGTCCATGCTTAGAAGATTACTGCCACATATGGCCCCGTGCTTCTGCGATTTTTCATTGATAAAATCCAAAGAAGAATCAGCATTATTATTGGTCCTGATTTGGTGGCTCAGCTTTAGTCACTTTCTTACCGCCGTACAGTTGCCTCTCTGAGTTTTTTTTTTTTTTTTTTAAAATATTTTCACTGTAGTTCGGATGGGCTCTTCGATATGGTACCTAGAGTTTATGAATTTAAGCGCCATACTAGACTGACGTCAAGACCTCAACAATTTACATACCGTTTCTTTTTTCGTACTTCTTGCTTGTGGAACAAACTTCCAGCTTTATGCTTTCCAGCCAACTTTAATCTTAAAAATTTCAATGCAATGTTAATCACCATCTATTGTTCTCCTGGTTATTAGTAATGTTTCTATTTCTAATTCTTCCACATCTAGTAACTCCTTGTGTCGTAGTGGTTTTACGGCTTTGCATAGGGTGAAAAAAGCGAAAAATAAAAAACAATATTGACATGGCGTATCATAACTTGATAGCAAGGCGTATTTGTAGAATTTTTCACTGAAAAATAAAAAAAAAAGCAAACATATCAACTTTTAGCAAATATCAACTTTTACAATTCAGACTAATGTGGATTTTAATGCAGTGCAAATTTTATAGCACATGGGCAAAGAAATTCTTTGCTGGGCAAAGAATTGCGTATATCTAGATCTATAATTCTCAAAATATGTGTGTGTGTGTGTGTGCGTGTGTGTGTGTGACCGGGTGTTGTTTATGCATTTCCACAGTTTTCATCCGATTTCGATTAATTTTTTTTTGTTTGAGATATAATTTTTCAGTGCCAGTTTTGAGTCCAAATTGTTGGTGACAATGGCTCTCCACTACTTCCTGTCCATTATAACTCTCAGCAACGTTTTACTATTTACTATCTGTTATTGGATATATATCTTTCATAGTAACTTTAAGAAAAAATAAATAGTTTAAATTATTACAATAATCTATATCTATAATTCTCAAAATGCGTGTGTGTTGTGTGAGTGTGATCGGATGTTGTTTACGCATTTCCACAGTTTTCATCCAATTTTGATGAAATTTTCTTTTGTTTGACAGATAATTCTTCAATGCCGGTTTTGAATCCAAATTCTCTGGAAAAAATGGCAACATTGAAGGTGAAAATCGAAAAATCTTATTTTTTACACTTTGCGCAAAATCCAAAGGCAAAATTTAATGTCTGTAAAAAAAACAGCATACAATCAATTTAGAGAGTTGAAATCAAACGCAAAAGATTATCAGAATTATAAAAAAAAATTATATATAAAAATTATCGTATATTATTATTATGACAGTCCATGGAAGAGGTTCCTTCCTTGAAAGATTGAGAACGCAAAGACGGCCATTTTCATGGACCCCATTCAAATTGTTACCCACCGCTACCATTACCACCATTTGGGGATGTGCCTCAGTTGAACCCAATTGTTATTACTAATATTGATTTTCGGGTGGGATGACGTTAAATTTAAACTGCTCCAAATTAACGGCAAAAAATTCCCAATAATGGAAGACGGGTTATACTGCTAGTTTAATATAAATCACTTCCGACTGGAAATCACTGTTTTTTTTGTTGTTGTTTTTTTTTTTTTTCTTTGGCCGCAACATGAAATCAATAAAACGTTGCCTGATCCCTGAAGATTCAAACTATGGGACAGCACTACACTCCACTAAAAATGAAGAGTTGTGAGTTCACGTCTACCTTTTGAGACAAAGGTCAATTGGAAAATCTACTATCTATATTTCTCATGTTGTCTGTCTGTGTGTCTGTCGTGGTCGTTGTTACCTCTCCCAGGCCGCATTTCTCACCCGATTTCGATGCGGTTTTCAATACAAGTTTGCAAATGGCCGCCGTAAGGACATGACCGAGCCCGATTTTTGAGTTCGGAATCAGGTTCCGAAAAAATCGATAATCGAAAAAATAATAAAAAATCGAAAAAATCGATAAAATTCTGCTTACAGAAGGAATGATCGCATTTCAACCAAATTTGACACCCTCTTAGAGTCTACCATTAGAAGTGTTGTCCAAAAGTTTCATGACCACGGACCCCTAAACAGCGCGGAAAATCGATAAAACCCAAAAACCGATACGCCCAGATTGCGTCTGAACAGCATTTCGGATTTTAGCGGATTTATGAAGAGGCAATTGGGAGTCATCCTGTGAAGTTTCAACTCTGAGCACCTCCCCAAACAGAATGCAAATCGACAATCGGTCAACCCTTAAAAATGTTTTTTTTCCGGTTTTTTAAAGCTGATCGTATTGTGTTTATTTTTAGTTCTTTTTTCGTAACAGATTTAATGTTTACTATAGAGCTTAGAAAAAGTTGGCAGTGTGAGATAGGCAAGAAGTAAGGCATGTAACAACATCAGCACAGCAAAGGGCACTCCTCTAAAGGCAAGGAAGGGCAAAAATATTTTAAGTCAAGTGATAGCGATTGCTGTATTAGTGGTACTATTTTTTGAATCAAGCACGGGCAACGCCGGGCCATGCTGCTAGTAGTTTATATATGCGTGTTGGTAACGCAAAATTGTGAAAGACAAATAGAATTT